TGGAGCCTCCCATCTACTTGAATCTTGAAGATGTTGAGTAGACTTCTTGTCTCAAGACCCCCAAACCCTACCCTACTACAGATGCTGCAAAGCCTAAGTCCTTTAAGTAGGATTGGCACAAGGTGTTTTTCAGCTTGTCCAGGTCTTTTCTTTGCAACAAAGTATCTTTTTCATAGGTACGACATGAGAACGCTCCCTTCTTCAGCCACTCATCCTCTGGGTGGCTGCCAGCGGGAGGTGGAATTTCAGAATCCCATCGTTGGGAGTCCTGCAGAGCCTGACGAAACATCAGATCCCTCCTCCGCATCATTTCTTCCCGCACGGCTTTGCGGCAGAACCTGTGCGAAAACCCGCGAAAACGTGAGCGGCCGCACGTGTGCGCCTTGGCGCTCTTGGCATGCGCAGGTTCACCCTGCTGGCGCGGGTCATTGCTTTGCCGGGCGCCTTGCTGGGATTCGTGATCTTTTGGAGCACCCTGCCACTGCACCCTGGTGCGAACCAGAGGGTTGGGCTCGTGGGCAGGCCGGCGTGGTTGGTTTTTTTCTTTCCACGCCTGGGTTTTTCTTCGTTTCCATCCTTCAAGGTTCCAGTGCGTCAGTTGGTGTCGTAACCATTATATAGATAATAGGTGCCCTTATGTTGGCCTTTGCAACCATGTGCTGGCCTGCTGGGGCCATGGGATGGAGTGGTTCAGAATCCACCAGAATCCACCCCATAGTTCCTGGTAGGTGGAATGAGATTCAAATTCAGTGGTTTTCGGAGAACATGAGGGCCGCGCGCTGAGCTGCTACTGCTCAGGTGGCTGGTGTGTGGGCTCGGGGGCCTGCTGTCGGTGCTGCTGTTGCTCTTCGCCACTCGGCGCTGAAAAAAACGCTCGGCGAAGGGTCCAAAGGGTTTAGGGACGCAGCCTCTGTCATTCTCAGTCCATCTTTGTCCACCTACAGTTCCTTTGAAGCAATAGGTAGGCATTTGCCAATGGGTCAGGGAGAAATTTTACTAGTAACAGTATATGTGATATCACTATATTTGATGCTGGCGTGGGTGTATGAACGTAGGCAGATCACGTGATGCGTTTGTTGTTTGGTAGCCAGAAAGTAGACAGTAAGGCTTAGGTGACGTCATATTTGTCCTTTTCATATGCTTGAGCAAACATGTATCCTCCTGACTGGCTTTCCAAACAAAAAAAGCCGGTTGAATCCATCCTGCTGAGCTGGTCGCCCATGTATCCTGCGTGCTTGAACAAGTGCTACTGGCTTCTTTGTTGCCACCCAGGGCCCAGCATTAAAAAAAACCTCCATGAATTTATTCTCCAAAGGTACGAATCACATAGATGACACTTTTCCTTTCCCACTTGTTGTTGTTATTGTGGAGTTTCGACCGTCCTCAGACTCGGAACCCGATGTTCAGATTGACAGGTGGGTTGCGCTTGGTGCTCCACCACCGCTCCCTGTGTTTGCGCCTTATGCTGCTCCTTGGGCACCGACAAGTCAGGGGCGTCGCCATCTTGACCTGAGCTAGACCTGCTTGGCCAACACCTGGAAGAATGGGCCTCATTTTCAATAGGGAGACACCCAACGAATGGGTTTTGGTTCTTTTTCCTTATTCCAGGGTTCTTTGGGAGGTCTTCCTTTTAGATCCTTTTGGAATGCACCAAATGGTACCTGCTGGGTGTTTGATAGTCACCGGGTACCTACCTTTGATTCAACTGGTGCAAAGACCTGGTGCTCCAGCCCACTCTTCATACACTTATTCATTTGTGCCGAGGCTGTGGGATGACAGATGCTCAGGCAGAGCTCATCCTTTGTGCCATCCTTAGGATCACCGCGTCCGAACCCATCTGACCGCCAGCAAAAAGAAAGGAACGTGTAAGCAAGCTTCCTTTCATGGTCAGTGTTTTTCATTTTGATGGGGCGCCTTCTGTGTAAGACAGAGGAGGAGTATCAAGAAGCCCCGGTGTTTGAAGAGAACCGTCAGATTTCGTGATGCCATGTTTGGCTGCAGGATTTGTCCAGGACGAAGTCAAACTAAGGATTACAGTATATTTGGTTTTCCTGTGCCTGCAGCAACCTCAGAAAGCACGTTAGCATGAACTTTCATTGAAATGGATAGACGTGGAACAGACCCAGATAGAGGATAGATAGACCTTTTTGCCGAACCTTCCCCACAACGAGCGACCTTGACAGGTACAGATTCAGTAATCCTAGACACACTGATGAACGTAGTTGATTTATGTTGGTTTATATATTCTTTGCAGCTTCCAGGTCGCCCGAGCTGGCCCCCGAGCTCCAAGCATGTTTTGGTTCGAGGCACTGCAACGGGGCACCTGTAGGTTTGTTGTCGCGTTCAGGGCCGTTCCTTGGCCCTGACCGGCCCTCCTCGGAGCCCGACCGGCGCTTTGGCACCCGCGCCGCAGCCCTGCACCGCCCAGGTGCCCCCTGCCACTCGTGCTGGGCCTCTGTGGAGTGTTTGCTGGGTGGCTTGGAGCCAGAGCCCTGAGAGAACGCCATGCGAGCGAAGCTCGGACGAAGCACCCACCGGTGGGGTTCACTCCACCGGTGGATCTGTCAGACATGGATGGACTCATATGGAGCACACCACGCACGCACGCACGCACGCACACAGACACATAGATATACGGCGACGGTATATATATATATGTTTACCTAATGCATGTCTACCTAATGGTTTTTAGGGTACCTGAGAGGGAACTTCCTTTACTCCACCAAGGAAAAATATAGCCATTGGACTTCTTAGGTACATATATAATTACTGTATATATAATAGTTATACATTATGTGCACGCGTCTACCTAGAATGACTTCCAAGTTAGCCCACCGCCACAGAGTGGCAACCCAATGGTTTTTGAAGATGAACACAGCTGCACCTGCTGCTCACCAAATCCATCCAAATCCTCATTGGTCAGTCCGTTCTGCCAGCGCCACCCTGAAATCAAGGAAGTGCACATGTGAGGCCAACTTGGAAGCTTACGGATGATGTAACCACGAGACTTGTTGATCCTCAAAGCCCTTTTCAGTTCATTTTTTTTTTGTGTAGAGTGGGTTGAGAGTAGATGGCACAATCCCCCAAAGGTGGTTTATATGGACCCCTATATAAAAGACATCTTGGGGTTTGTGCCATCTACTCTGAAACCACCGTAATTTTACTTGCAACTGGAAGTCTGAAAAGTGGATAGCTTACCTCGACAAAGCGTTCGCTTGGGGATGTTTCGGCATCAGATGCCAGAGAACTGCAGCATGTCCAGGGAAGTGAGATGGGACGTGGATGTAAGTTCACCTCGCAGGTGTCCAAGTTTACCTACAACCTCACGGACCTGTATAGCTATCCCGCATTGGCATCCCCACATTCAGATGGAATGGGGATGGCATGGCCCCAAGGGGTGCAAACAGACATATCCGCCGACCTGCTGCAGCATGCTCTTCAGCACGAATTCGCGTGAACGGCGAAGCCAGTCCACGCGGAGAAAGCGCAGCGGATGGGAGCTCCCCCGCTGTAGTGGATGAGATCCCCAGGAACTTCGGCAGAGTGGTGATGTGACACCTGTCTTGACGGCCGCCCGTTGGGCGAGAACGGCCGGGCTCCCCACATGCGAACGGCCCGGAGTGCCCAGGAGGATTTGGAAAGATTTTCACCTGTGAAATTATCAACACATGCCACCCCACCAGTCACAGTAATTCCTGAACACTAAGAGCTGAAACTCTGAAACTAGGGTACTTCTACCAGAAGACCTGTTCGATTGTTTCAGCCCCACATGAGGGTTGCCTCCTCCCTTCGCTGGGCCGAAGTTCTGGAGGACTCTCTATTCGGTCGGATCGTGCATGGCTCCGCACAGTGACCGCCACGCACGCATCATTTTATTGGCCGGGCGGCCAGGCCCGAAGATGGCAGAATGGAATCATCCATGATCATGCCATGTAATGATAGACTCTTGATTAATAACCCCCTCTCAATATGAACAGGTTTTACCATCCAAGTCTTATCAAGAGTCAATTTTTTTCATTTTTTTGTCAGGCCGGGTATGTTTTGACAAAAGAAGCTATTGACTCTTGATGAGACTTGGATGGTAAAGCCTATTCATATTGAGAGAGTGTTATGTTTCATCTCACAACTGTGTTTCCATACCAGAGGTAGATCGAGTCTCCTCTTCATCCGACTCGAGTCTCCTTATCTCGTTACGAAACCAAGTCACCCATCTTCATCGGACCCGGAATCGGAGCTTGGACCAACCCTAATTGGTGCTTGGAGTCGTTTTTTTGGGGGAGTAGGATGAAGTGGGCTTGCCGGTTTGTCTAGCAGTCGAGCCATGTCGAGCCTTACCCACATCGTCACATCGTGTTACATGGTTTGATGAAATGACGCACTCCTCAGTCGTAGTCTGGCATGTGGCGGATCCCAGGTTAGAAGAAAGTGGATTGGATCATTGGACTTGACCTGTTGTTTGTGAACCTGCCAAATCTTCTTGATGGCTTGAGTGGGCCAGTGGCCTTGTGCAGCGTGAGGGGACATTTTTGAGCAGACAAGCAAGCAAGCAAAAAAATCAAAAGGCAACTCGCATTCTGGTTGGTGTCCGGGCGATGGGCCCTGCTCCCACACAGGGTCGGAACAATCCATTGATGTGCTTCGTCGGACAGGCGGTTGTTGAAGCAAGAAGCAATCTGAACCATGGCAGGCTAGGTAAGGACACTGCCAACCTTCACACGCGTAAAGTCAATGTTCACTTGTTTGAGTGTGTTTTTTTTTGGTTGGCTTCAACTTTTGGTTGGCTTCAACCCTAGAGCAGTCCAAATGTAGACAGTCCAATCGCCTCTTCAACGCTTTGCCTGGGACCTTTTCTGGTCACTATTTCGTGTGAGAGAGATGCCCTAATGGATAGCTCACTCTGGGGCTTGTGAGACCTCTATCAACCAGCTCAGGTCCACCAGTAAGGCCCAGTACGGGCCTTGTGAGGTTTGTTCACCGCTTCGGGCGTGGCACGTGGCCAGGTCACGCTGGAGAGGGCCCAGTGGCTCGAAGATGGTGGGCTTTTGGAATCCGAATCCTCTGCTGAGGCCGGACCGGCAAGCTTTTGAGTCGAAGGTTGGCTGACGCGACCATCCAGAAATCTTTTGGGGGGGGTCCCGGGTCCAGGATCGTGAACTTGAGGATAGATTAGATGCATAGACGACGATATATCTGATTCGTTTGCCGAGTGAATTGAGTGAATCCCATCTATCTCAGCATCGAAACTGGGCGAGAACTTGCGGACGCCGCACGCGTCGGCCGGTTTTTTTCCCGCGAATCCGTGGAACTTGCTGAGGCGAAGTCTGAGATCAGGCGGGTTCACGACGGAGAAGGGTGGAGATCGGGGGGGCCGAGTGAGGAGATGCTATGAAAAACAAGCTGCAAATGCACATATCTGTATTTTTCTTTAATGTCGCATGTATAACAGATATGATGTATCTGTATATATGTGTGTCTAGACAGATAAACTAGTTACATCCATGATTGTTAGAAGATGGCAGCATCGGAACTTCGATTTTCCAAGATTTCAGATTTCGTCCTAGATGAATTGTAGCTTCAGGTCCAGATTTGTACCAAGTACTATAAGTTCTAAGATCGATCTTGTTGGAGAGTCGTGTCTTGATAGACCGGACAGAGTGGCATCTTTTTTTTTGCTTGCTTAGCCTTCCCTAACCCCGAAACTGCTAGGGTAAATGCCAACGGCCAGAATCCCATTGACCGGCTTAGGAAGAGCCCTCTCCATTTCAATACATCGTTCTTTCCTTCACCCAAAAGTGTACTTTCCAAAAGTAACATGTATGAAGTTCTGTATATTGCCCACCCGATGTCGATCGATTTCGAATGGCTGGTTTATTGGTGCAAGACTTTTTTGGCGATTCGCTGTTTGTTCGTTTCATTAGAGCCAGACTCAGAATGCCCTGAGTCTGGTTTGTAGGGAACTGACGTCCACGTCTCCTAGTCATGCGACATTCTTCCACATCAGTGCCTCGAGCCAGGAACTTCAAGGCCGGCGTGCTGCTCGGCGTTGAAAACAGTTGAAGACAACTTCCTGGGACTTACCTTTAGTACCGCAAGCCGCCGGGCTCGTCTTGGTAGAGGGCCATCATGTTTTCAGTTCTGTTTCATTGTTTCCAAACGCCGGAGAGAGAGAGAGAGAGAGGCACCCAATTCACTTGGGGAGTGGTGTTTCGCCCACCACATTCCAAAGCTTTGAGCCTTCGGATTTCGTGCCCCATCCGACGCGACGCTTTCAGCGCAGAAAGCACGGATGTCTCGCCTTCTTCCGACCCTGGCGGCGCTTCCGCCCGGGGGGCGGTTCGCCTAGGAATGGCGCGCGCGTGGGCTTCTTGACGAAGGAGGGCCTCTTGTCGGCTCTCAAGGAGCTGGGCCTGGCAGCCATCGGCAATGCTGAGGAGGCCGGAGCCGTGCGAACGCGCAGAGCGACTGTTGGAGCAGAGTTGAGTGAAGAACATGGGAAGCTCTCGGAACAGTTGGAGATAGTGGGAGAACCCTTGAACACCATGTAAGAGATGTAAGCCCAGTATGTAACCACATGGGAAAGCCAGTGAGTTGGCTGGAGCCAACTGAATTCACTGACCTTCGGTTCATTTTCCTCTTGTCCTGCCTGCCTCGGATCGCGCCCCCGCTCCGCCCGCGCCAGGCCTCGGATCTCACCCGGAAGCTGATCGTCGCGAAGAAGGCGCGGGAAGCGAGCTCCGAGAGGAGGTCGGTGACCTCCCCCGAGTGTTTTTGAGATTGGTAGCCCACAGCCTCACACACACAAGCCTTATATATAGGTGAAGCCTTTCAGCAGCTTCCAGGGACTCAAGTCGCCAAAGAAGTCAGACACTTTCGTGTTTAGCCTTGGGACTTCTAGATTGAGAACGCACATTTCTCGGCCACTGAGGTTCACATCTTCCGACATTTGTCGAGTGAACAGATCACCAAGCTGGTCCAATCCTTCGTGCTGCAGCGCTACCGGAAAGGCCCCACCCTGTGAGCACTTGCGTCATCCGAGATCTAAGGGTATTTCTCGGACTTGGGAGGATGGGAGGATGGGGAGGGAGATCTGAACATCCCGATGTTTGATCCACCTCACTTATGTGCGATCTACCATAGTCCACTCACGGGGGAGGCACCCAACTCCCCTCATCCAAGTCCATCTCTCCTCACCCCATAAGAGGGCGGGGAGGGGGCTGAGCAAAAGATGTTGAAACCATGTGCCTCCAAGTAGCCCTCATCATGAGTATCATGAAATTCCCCGACCGTCACGCATAGTCACCAGGTGAGTCCTGATTCTCCACAGAAACACGATCGGGTGAGCTCGCATGCAAAAGGACACAGTTGGAGGTGAGGCGAGTGCTTCACCTGAAGCAGATGCCAGGTGCTCATGTCATCAAGCAGGGTGAAGTGGGCTCCTCATTCTTTGCTGGGAGACCCAGGTCTGACTGGTCCTGGACAGGTCTGAAGGCAGACAGGTCCGGGGAGAGCAGACGTTTTTCGTTCAGGACGACGTTCGGTTCTGAGTTCTAAGCATTGCGGAGTTCATGAGAACGAAGACGGGGAGTCAACCACGTCTATTTCGACGTATTTTGGGTCGCCACGCGCCGAGCTGAAGTCACCTGAGTTGGGCATCAGGTGGTATGCCCTGCCCGGGGATCACTGCATGCCAACTCTCCCCCGAACCAGTAGACGAAAAATAAAAAAGTCGGCGATTCGCGCTCTTGGTTTTCTGTCTTCGGAAGTACTCTTCTGCATGAACACCTGCAGATCCAATCCCATTCTAGCTGATCATCTACCAAAGCAGCAGTTTCTTTTGCAGGCAGCCAAGGGGTTGGTTTTGGGTGGTCTTTGTTCATTCCCAAAATCACATCGCGCCCATTTGCAGGTCTGTTGATCAATGGTGTTGTCTTATTTGGAAAGTGAGGCAGTCAGAGTCAGAGAGGAGAATTTCTAGAGCTCCCTCTGATTGTGACATGCGCATGGTCCGCATGGTCATGGTTCCCTGCGGCTGCACCCAGGTCATCGCTAGTGGAGATGTGAAGGTGGAGATCAACGGGAAGTTCATCCGCAGCTGGGCGCTGTTAGTTGTTCATCCTATTCTTTAGGTGTTCCCTTTTCAGTTTTGATATCAGTGGGGAAATACATGATAAATACTCTCCCTGAAACATCCTGGAAACAACATGGTAGTGGAAAACCACCTGTTTGTAGAGGACCATGGTCTTCCAAGGGGTCGCATTTCATGTTTTTGTTCTTCCTCCAGGAGTGTAGCATTTTTTTCTGCGATTGCCGCACAGGCGGCAGCGAACAGTTGCAAACAAGTTTTGAGGGTGGACGCCTTCTCTTTTGGCGGGTGTTGGAACTTGTGGAAGAATAGATGGACCAGAATAGATGGACCGATTGGATAGCTGCCTTGGCTACGGGGCTATTTTTCCAGCAGAACCTCGAGGATACATGCCGACCAACTCAGATGGACCCACATACTCTTCAGAGCCTCTGGGCCCATATAGGCCAATAAATAAAACCTTGTGCTTATCGGCCATATAGGCCAGATAGACCCATATAGACCCATCCGCCTTCTCCGCCATGATCCGCCAGTGATCCGTTCCGCACCCAGGAACCATGACCAAGAACTCCTACTTCGGCGAGCGTGCCCTGCTCTTCGATGAGCCTCGCACCGCCACGGTCGAGGTCTCTTCACCGGAGGCAGAGCTTTGGTCCATCGAGCCACGAAGCCGCACTCGGGAAGCCGTTTTCACATGTTTTCGCTCCTTCTCGGCCGTGGATTCAGAGCCGAGAAGGGGGGTTCGGGGTCGGATCTAGCGAATCTGAGCGCCTATGCCTATGCTATATGTTTTTCCGAACTGGCATGAGGAGGCGCTTGATCCATCAACAGGCCTCAAAAAATCCTTTGGCAATTGGATGCAATTGGATATTTGAAGGCATTTCCAACGTATTTTTATGATAATTAATTGGGGGGGGCCCTCGCTGGAGTTCGCAGAGTCCCAGAATTCATTAACTTGAGTCTTTGAGGGACTGAGACTTATGTTTTGCTCTTGGGTCACAAGCAACACCATCAACACTGAAAGCAATTCTGAATTCAAAAAAAACTTCAAAAGAACATTGGGAGGACCCCTCACAGGGAGGACCCCTCATGTTGAACACTTGGAAGTACAAAACAGTTTTCCCAACTGCCCCAAAGCTCCCGCGAGAACCGACCGACCCAGGAAATCCACCTTCTCGTCGATCGTGAAGGGCTGCTTGCTTGCAGTGGTTTAGCAAAAACGAGGAGACACTCCCACCACGGCATTTTTTAAAAAATACAATAATGTAGAATGTAAATTTTTGAAAAATCATTAGAATCACTTTGTTTGTTTGTTTGTCTGTCCAGTATATATAATATATATATATATTATCTATTCTAATCTATATAATCTATTTATCTATATTCTTTCTTTTTTGTATTTCTTTCATTCTTATTTTTACCTTACCCATCCAATCTAATCTAATCTTGGCTTATTTTATCTACCTTATCTATTTTATCTATTTTTCCTATCTTATCTTACCAATTTTAGCTTATCGCATCTATGTTATCTAGGACCTATTTTATCCTATCCTATCCTATCTATCAACCTACTTATTTTTAAATGATCTTATCTGATCTGAATTGATCTATATAATCAAATCTAATCTTATTTTTATTTGACCTAATCCTTTGTATCTATCTACCTATCTTTCTTGCTTTCTTTCTATTCTACGCAATGCTATGCTATTCTATGCTATGCTATGCTATTCGATCCATCGGTCCATCCATCCATCCGTCCGTCCGTCCGTCCGTCCATCTATCTCCTTATCTAATGTGTCTATCTACCTATTTAATCTATCTAATAAATTAATCTATCTATGTATCTATATCTATCTATCTAACTACCTAGATCTATATATGAACATATCATTCTACCCCAAGACGTGTGTACGTGGGGGTGGGTGTTCTCTCTTTTTGGGGGGGGCGTGGTGCATGTGTTGAGGAAGAGATATGTGACATCCCGCACATTCACAACCAATGGCAATACAGAATGTGGGTCTCGCCGCAAACCTGTGGTGGCTCTCCAAAACATATGCGGGTACGAAAATAGGAGACCTCTGAAAGACCCCTCTGGAAGAACGACAAATAGACCAAACACACATGTCTTTGGGCCCAAGCAATACACATCCAGCAACACAAACCAATTTTCCTGCATGTAATAACTGGACCCGCAACAAGATCACAAGATCGACGCGAAACCAGGCAAGATGCAACAAGAGCTGATGCATCGTATTCGCCTGTGACTTGGCAGAACGGAAACTGTAGCCGTTGACGATCCGGAGTGCCTAGGACATCCAGGTGCAAGTTGCATGTTCTCCCTCCCACGGAGGGTAATGAAATCTCTTCGCGTTTGGCCCCATGTCCCTCGTCTCCGTGTCCTGGGTCAGGGATTTAGCTGGGGCATGGCAAACAGCTCAAGACATGAAAGACATGAATTCCCTGTCATCTTCACCTTTTCAAAGGACTGTTCAACTGGACGTCTGCCTTGAAACCATGGTCCATTCCACGAATGTCAGTGATCGATTTACCTCAGGCAAGATACTGACTTCACCATGAAGGACTGCCAGATCGGTTTGATGGGGCTGGAGAGTGGCACCCCATTCCCTCAGGTTGCTTCACCCAAATCGGACCGGTGGAGGTCTGCCCCATGTTTCTCTCAGCCCGAGGGCGTCCTGCTATGATCAGAACGGGTTTGTGCCACGTCCTATGATCAGAACATCTCACACATCCTGCCATTGCATGAGAGGTGGACCGAAGAAACCGAGAGGTGGCCGTATCGATGTCCGAGTCATTGCGTCAGGACCTCAAGACAGTCCGAGTCATTGGGGCAGGAGCAGCAGGCGTAGTGCGGCTGGTGATGAACAAGAAGACAGGCGCAGTCGCGCTGTCGCGCTGTCGCGTCCGGTGCGATGTTCTCAGAGTGAGAGATGGGAACCTCAGATGTGTCGGGTGAGGCGAAATGTAAGCATCAAGAAGTCGAGAGCACGCAACGAGCTGGCGCAAACGAACAGGAGCCTAGGCTCCTTTTTGGAGCGGTATCCTTTTGTCAGTGCAAAGCTCATGTCCCTTCATGCCCGCCTTTCCTGGAGCTGGTCTGTCTTTGTTGTCCAAAGGATTCGGCGACTTTAGTGCTAAAGCGTAGGCTTCCCTCAAGGCCTTGGATTTATTTGCTATATTATATAGGCTAAAAACGCTCGTTGAACTCCGATGAAATGCGATGTAAGAACCCCCGCAACATCCTACAAGGTCCTACAAAAATCAACAACATAAGACCAAGAGCCTAACATGTTCACCTCGCCTTTTCTTGAAGCGGGGCACTGTGTGTTCCAGCAGAGCTCTTCAAAGTATCAATGATCAGATCAGTTCAGTTGGTATATGTATATGTGTGCATGCAACTCTTTCCCACCATCTGAGGGAAACAATTGTGAGCCCGTCAGTTTCCACTCGACCACCAGCTGGCTGACATGCCACCAAAGGCAAGAAAAGCATAGAGAAGCCCAAACAAACATCCTGGAATGAATGATGCCATGCTCCAGGTCGTGTTAGGGTTATTTGTTTTGTCACACCCACTGGCTGCAGGCATGAGGCGCCTTGGCCAGATTCGGGGCTCGCGTGTTGCGGTTCTCTAGAAAACCGAAAGAGCACCGCAACATAAGATTTTGGGCAGGATCTGCAGGACATCCCTGACTCGGGAATATCCAAGGTCCTTGGCTAAAGCAGAGCGTTCCGCCTATAGAGAAAACCGACGTCATCGTCTGGACCACCCGGTGACGACGACGACGTTTGGACCACCCGCCGGGTGGCGCAGCGGAACACGCGGAATCGGCAGCGGAACGAGCTGAAGTATTTACTGTAGGTTTTGTCCCCGAACCCACCAAAACCGATGTGCTGCGAGGCAATCCACGGCACGTGTGTTTGTTCTTCTTTGGGCGTTCAGAAGCCAATGCAATTCTGTGCCAGAACCCTGTAGCCGCGTAGCCTGACATGAGGCTAGTTGGGAGCGAACAAGCTCGCTGGGCGACCTGTTGGACGGTAGTAGGAGCGAAGGCAGACGGCATAGTCTGTCCTGGCCTCTCTCTAACAGGGATATACAGTATTGAGTTTTTTGCTATTTGTTGTTTGCTCATACCCTCCTTTTTTTAGCAAGTCACCAGCTTCAACCAGAAAGAGGACTTCTGGCTTGCTCCTCACGCAGTGGAAGGAAAAAGTCCTGCACCACCTCAGATAGAGCATATTGAATATATTTAATAGACATGTTTTGATTCTTGAGGTCATTTGTAAAAGCTTGGTCCTCAGCAGGTCCTGCCACCAGGTCCTGCCACCTCGGAGCAGGTTCTGACCAGGTCGGTCACGGTGTCACGGTGTCGACCACCCACCTCCTCGGCCGAGGTATGCTCTGAAGCGGGTCCGGAAGAACCAGGGGAAGATCCCTGTGGAGGTCAAGCGCGCCTTCGGCCGCAACCCGGAACCGCCTTTGGGTTCAAAGCACGCACTCCGATCTGACTCGGATGGAGGTCATCCTGGCCAAGTCGGAGGGAGGAGACTGGTGAATGGTCGTGTTTTGCACCTGAACCGCCCTGAATAGAAATGATAGACACATCAGAAACTCCAATATATCCAATAATCAGTTGTGCGTGGTCACTCACAACATGTCACATCCTCAAGGCTTCCGCTGAGGTTTACCTCTTCGTCGGTCTCTGTCGACGACGGGCGCCAGCGGCGCATCCATCGGACGGTCCGGTGGGGCAGTGCTTTCGAACAAACCCATCGGTTCATGGGTTTGGGTTCAGGTGCGTCCTGTGGTGTCATCGATTGATGGTTCCGGAACTGGTGCTTGGGAGATGGACTCCGGGGGGCCGGTCTGGCTCTGGCCGAGGTGAATGCGAACTGCTCAAGGCCCAGGAGCACCCCTTCATCATGCCTCTTGGCCCTGGAGACGTCACGGGCCCATCGAGGTCCTTCTGTGGTTGATCATTGGCACCTAGAATGACCCCCCCCTCACAGCCGACCCGGCACCGATCGGAGGACACCTCCTTGCAAGGGTGTAGGATCATTGTGTATATATATATATATAAATAAATAAATATATATAGACATACACATTAAAAGCAACAATATACATAAAAAAATATATATATTTATATATACACACCACCTCCAACAGGTGGCTTTTGCAGACTCAAAAGTCGCAGGTGGTGACCTGTTGGAGGGTGCTGGTAGATGTATCGAACTGCATGCAATGTGCCTAAGACATGTTTCTCCAAGCCATGCCAGCGGCCAAGTCATCCCATTCACTTACCGCTGACCGGGCCGAGCACCGGGCTGCAGCTCCCCGAGCCGTGCGTCCTTCGGCGAGCTCTCTCACCCAAACAAACAGCCTCAAATGTACCCAGCGGCATTCGGAAGGCATCCGTCCGGCCGACCGTCCATTCAGGGTGTGCATTTCACATCAGCTTGCATTCATTTGCACCATAAATTTCAGTTTGAGTGCTTTTGGGGTAAGAAGATGTAAGAAGCCCACACGCTGCTGACGCCCTCCGCCGAGCCACGCAGCGCGTCAAGACGCAGCTGGCAGACTTCTAAGGAGACTGGTGCAAACCTTCGAGACGCACAAGAGCGTGCCTGGGCCGATCCGGTGCTTTTTGGGCCTGTTCTGGGTGCTCATGAGCCTTTTGGAGGGGTGATGCACAGATATGACCTCCAAATCAGATTAAAAAAAGATCTTTCAATATCTTCTTTCCATGTTGGGGCACCTCCTCACGCAGCGGACCCCCAAAACTGAACCGATGGACCACTTCTCCTTTCACGATTTCTCGCTCCATTTCCCTACACACCGCTCCATTTTTTGTGAGACTTCCTTCCTCAGACCCTCAAAACCGCCCAGCTTTCCCGGTGATTTCCTCGCTTTCCCCGGCGGGCGCGCGGGTTTTTCCGCCCGCCACCGTTCGCTCCAGGTCTACATCCTCACCGAGCTCATCACCGGTGGCGAGCTCCATGGGGCGATCCGTGAAATTCCCACAGTGCTCTCCAGGTGGGACCGATGTCCAGTCATTCATATAGTTAGACTTATACTCGTAGTATCTCGTAGTCATAGTCAGTCCACGCACCACCGCGCGGCCAAACGGGGCGTGGATTCGGATCGGAGGAACGGCATCGAACGGATGCGGAGACACGAACGGAAGACTTGGCGATGCGAAGACTTGGAACAGGACTCACCCTGCATCGAAGATCCGAAGCAGAGACTAGACGTTGAGTACATGGAGTAGCGGACCCTGCGCCGTTCAACTTCTTCCCAATGCCCGGTGTTCTTCTCGCCCCGCGGCCACCGATCGGTGGCGGCCTCCGTGCATCGTCGGCATCGGTGTGGAGACCAAGCGTTCGTGCAGGGCACAGGCACAATTCTACACCGGATGCTTGATCATCGTTCTGGAGGCCACGCGTTCTTTTGGGCCGGGTGGAGTTACCGGTAAGGATTGGTGCTTCCATGATCTGACCGGTGGTCACTGGGATTGGCTGGGTTGAGTGATGGCTCCGCCAACTTGCACAGATATCGGGGTGACCTCTTTTGTACTCAACGGTCTATGACTCATGACCCCCAAAAGTGTGTGACCTACAATGCTGTGCTTTGATGTGCTTTGGGTGGCGTGCAGGAGCAAAGATAAAGGTCCCGAAAGACAGACTTGACAAACATATGCCCCGAGTGCTGGAAGAGATGCGCATCCCGACTGTCAACAGGACCTTCCGCAAGAAAGCCGACCTTTATGACCATTTCTTTCTGGGAGTCCCTGCAACCCATAGGAAAACAGGGGGAGAAACGGAAGGCTTATATAATTATAAAGTTCCTTTGTTTTCAAGCCGGAATTGGCTGGTGCGAAGATACGGAATTTGGACCACTTGTTGGGCCTATTGTAGCCACTCATCTCTTTGATGCAGGAGCTAAGTGAGAAGAACATCATCTACAGAGATGCTTGGCTGATGGAATTGGGGTGTGGGGGAGCAAAAGAGGGATGCTTTGGCTTCGGCGTGAATTTCTCCGGTGTTTATATGCTATCTATTTATTTTTAAACTTAATTACTGTAAGGATTTTTCCCACTACTAGCATCCCAGATTCCGGAAGCTGGAGGAAAACCCTTCTGTCAGGGCCGATGTGGAGAACTTCGGGGAGTACATTCTTCTCCGATCATGTGGAGAATGCACGGTATCCGCCGCTTGACACGGTCTCTTCAGGACCTTAAGCCCGAGAACGTGATGCTCGACGCACAAGGCGCGAGAACGTGATGCGCGCGAGGATGATGAGCGGCGAGACCATCCATACGGACTCGCACCGCAGTGCCTGGAGGGATGACCAATTGCATTTGCAAAGTGAATATGTGACGTGCATGATCGTAGATAGTTTTTTTTTGATAGTTATAAAACACTTTCATTGGAAAGAGCTTGTTTTCAAAATGTACAAAAAAGTAAGTCAACACAACGTCAAAAAAAGTCAATCCCAACAGTCAAAGTCAAAGAAAGTCAAATCAGAAAGTTTCAGAAAATCAAAAAAGTCAATTTGCACAGATCCGACTTTTTTTGACTTGTTTTCGACTTTTTCAAGTGGTTGATCTTTTTTTGACTTTTTCGAGTTGTTTTTTGATTTTTTTTTTTTAAAACTTGTTTTTTTAAAACTTTTTCGAGCTGTGGTCTATGGTTGACTTTTTTTGTGTTTTTTTCGGACTTTTTTTTAACCTTTCAATTTGGCGTGTGTTTTTTTTTCGACTTTTTTTGGACTTTTCAATTTGACTTTTTTTTTCTTTGACTTTTCCAGTTGACTATGACTTTTTTGTTTTAAATCAAGGATTCTGGCCTTACCATATGAAAGTTCTTTATAGGTTTAAAGTGTCTACAATAATATTTTCAAAATTAAAATGTATTATAATTAGTATAAGAATATACGATTATAATCGATTATATATGTATATGTATGTATATATTCTTTACACTGTACACATATTAAAGGCATAAAATTACATACTGTAATGTTCATGTATGGCATGCATGGAACAACGCAACAGATGTAGCTTCGGTTACGACTTAAGCTGTGAGAGTTCCTCCCAGTCCTCATTCCGGCTTTGGTCATGAGTCATCATCATTTTAGAAGGCCGGGTTTGGCCGAGCTGCTTAGCTTGCCTTTGCGGAGCTGCAGGTTATTTGAAGCTGATTGATTTTGGAATCGCCAAAAAACTGGAGGAAGGGAAAACCAGAACCTTCACCATGAGACTTGGTCTGCACTGCTTTTGGTGAAGACGGGGTGTGGGCGTAGTGGCAGAAGCCTATAGCAGTTGGGTGGTGGAAGAAGGATGGGTGTGGGCGAGGGCAGCCTGGAAACACGGAGCAAGCCAAGGCAGTTGGTGAGATTTATAACTATAGCCGCAGAGTTTACTTCAAACTTAAAACCCTCAATGGCCATCTACAGTCCACAGTGGATTCAGCAATGCATGATCATTCGCGCCACATCCACAAACCTCCTCAAAGCTTAGAGATAGGGTCGATGACTATCGGATCTACTAAGTAGTGGGGTTTCGTTTGGATGCTGCATCGCCAATTTGGCTTCGAAGGCCTGTTGCTGCTGCCTAATTATGATCTGACATGGCACATTCCCACGTAAGAAGCACCTCGCAAGAATTGAGAATCAAGCAGCTGCCAGCTGTTTTCTCACAAGTCCTTTGAACTTGCACTCCTCTTTGGCGTTTTGGCGTTTGAAAAGGGGCAAGAACTCTTCCAATCACTTTGCGAGGTCTCGCTCGTCCTTGGACATTCGACCTTGGGGGGTTGGGGGGTTGGGAGCCCCTGAACCAATGGGGAACCAGGTTCCTCGCCTTTGGCGAACCTGCCCCCCCAGGATCGGCACTCCCCACTATATGGCTCCGGAGATCATGCGTGGCCATGGCTACGGAACGGAGGTGCGGACGGACGGTGCGGACGGTCGAGGCATTGGCGAAATGGACGGTCGGTTCAGGGGGCGGACGGTCGGTGGGGGTCATGTGTGGTCGTTGAGGAGTTCCTTTAAGTGGAAGAAGAGCTCGGAAGGGGTGCCCTGTTGCCACAGCACTGAATAGCTTGGGATTGATGCTCCAACTCTGGAGACCTTCCAGGCTAAACCACAGACTGCACAAAACAGTTAAACATACAACACCTGCTGTTCGCTTCCCGCTTCCGCAGCCGAGCATTTGGGTGTTCATTCTCATTTGCTGTATCTCATCCAAGAGGACAACGCCTTTGAGGAGCTACCCACCGCTGCGGAAACGACCCCCTTTGCCTGGACATCAGCCGTGAGGTGATTCACTGCTTCATGTTGCTTTAGTTGTTTCTTTGTCACACTTTGTCATCCAGTTCGCTGAAGAAGTGGTATCATCCAAAACATCTCCAGTTCGCGTACTTCCCCACCCCGCAAAATCTATTTATGACCCACCGGGTGGCCTGCCGAATGCCGGGGAAAACCAGTGTGATGAAAACGTCAACCCGTGTGACCGGTTGGAGGGTGTTGATCCCTGAACCACTTGGTGAACTTTGATTTCAGCCACTTTTTACATCAGTGCGGGGGTTTCACGACAGTTTGCGTCTGAGTTCGACCTCCACAAACCTCACAACCCATCCGCAGGTGGACTTGTGGTCTTTGGGGATCATCCTCTTTGAGTTCGTTTGCGGTGGGGGGTCTCGGGCATGACGTGTGGGCAGGGTATCGGACAGGGATTCGAAGCTTCCTTTGCCGAGCGCCCTTCGGGGCACTTTTCTTTATATAATACGAGTTATATTATACGTTATACTGTATTGACATCCGTGTACTACATATATAGAGATATAATATAGATATATTTAGAACACATAAAACGTGCCTTTATCACTAAAATGAGTGGCACAAGCAGCAAATACATCATCACAACCCTCGTTCTAGTCCGTATGCAGTGACTTTGATTGAATGTGGTGTGACATGCGATCAAAGAACACGGATAAGATTTGGTTCATCCTAGTTCTGAGGACATGGGGCTTTTGATGCACCTCTCTTCACAAAACATAGGCTTATCGAGCGCCCTACGACGTGAACCGCGTATGACGTCGTCGATTGGTCGACCTCCGCATCAATGAGATAAGTCCTCCGCATCAATGGGTCCGAGGCTATTTGCCCTTCGCCGACGAGCTGGATGACCCCACAGAGGTTTGCACGGCCGTGCTGAAGGATCCCTTAGAGTTGCCCGACGGTCGCCCTCTTTGCCGTCGGACGTCGGATGCGGTGCGACCGGTCCGGCGTCGGTGAACATGGTTTTTCGAAACGAGACTCGTGACGGGAGGCGCTTTCATCCTGCGACTTGAGGATGCTTGAGGTCCAGATTTGGGGAGTGGATGACAGAATCCCAGTTCGTAGATCATGTGTGTGTGTGTGTGGGTGGGTGGGTTGTGCTGGCATGCTAGCATAGCGACCTACAATGGGCTACACATGTTGGGGGTGATGAGACTTCGCGCAAGCAGTGGGTAGAACTCGCTGTCGAAGTAGTAGGTCTTGCCGTTGATGGCCGCACCCACACGCGCACATGGCAAGAGTCCAGATCACTCAACACGTCATCATTTCACTGAAGCCACCTCATTTCTCACAAGTCAGCAATCTTGGGAAGGAATCTTTTCGATCTTTTAGGATGCTCAGTATCTACAAAGCATGCAGCACTTGTACACTTTTTTTTGCGGAGCTTTGAGCTTGTTATGGTATGGTTTCCACTGGTTTCCATATCTTAGCCACAAACAGAAAAAGATGGATTGGATAGTTTGGCAGCTGGGGGGAACTCCGAATGCCTGTTTCAGGTACCATCTCTTGTGTGTGGTGCTTGTTTCGACTTTTGATCCTTTTTTTTCTGGCGAAGTTCGCGCATTCAATTGAACATCCTAGGCAGCAAATGAGCGCATAAGCATGTAGGCTGAGCCGCTGAACATCCGGCTGGGCTTTCGGGGGGGGGTTGACCGATTGAGGAAAATATCCGGCCAGACACTCCGTGAAGAAAGTGTGTAGCATGTAGACCTACAATGACCTACATTAGAATCATTAGGGTGGTTTCAGGGGGTAAGTGTATGTGAACATGCCATTTTCATGCCATTTGTACATGGAATATACTATACTATAGACTATATCTATCTATATATATATCTTTATATATTTCACTAACATATTGTTTATGCTGTACATGGAATGTTTTGGGAAGGGTTAAAAGCCACAATCGGTCTTGCCACCTGGCCTTTTCCAAGGTTTCATTCGCGCTTCAAGGACCTGGGGGGTGGTTCTTTGGGATGCGGGAAGAGCAGGAAGTCTCAACAGCCATCGGATTGGATTCAGTTGTTCCCTTCCTTGGTGTTTGGAGCTTCCAAGTCGTCGATTTGGAGGCACGATTGGGACATAAGAACCCAGCGGCGTCCGAGGGTGCTTCAGTGAAACGCTTGGAACACCGCCTCAGATTCCAGAGATGCTTGAATATGGCCAAATGCTGTAACAGTTCTATCACCCACTCTTGTTGACCCCGGGTTCGGTGCCTCGTTCCCGACGTCGTACGCTGACACGAGGATGCCCAGTGTAAAGCGGTCATCCAGGGGATGCTCAACCGGCAGCCGAAGAAGCGCTTGGGAGCTGGCGGCTGGGCGGGAATTGAACGAAGAGGGGGGAGTTGGAGGAAAATGCCATCGGTAGTGTATCTTCATCATATAGTGTATCTCTTTGGGTCATCTTCAATCAATACATACGCATGATCATGCATGTATGCATGTACATCTTCATAACTACAATATGTAGCACCTGTCACACCGCCTATGAGAAGGCCATTAATTTCGCTTTGTTCCGACCACGTCTCAGGCATGAATGGCTGGGAAGATATCAGGACCGCGGAGTGTTGGCCTGGGCCTGGCTTTCAATGGCCCAGCATCAGCGTGTTAATTTGATTTGGTTTGCAAGGGGCAAAGCACTAAGCATACTAAGCTTGACACCTTGAAGACCACTGTTATTAAGGTACATTTGACCCCACTAACAGTTTGTGATAGTTAGTGTGCAACACTCTTTGCAGCAAGCATGGCTGTGCTGTGCGGGACTTTCCGTGATGTTGCATGGTGCAGGATCGCGCAGGATTCTCTTTTTTCGCACGCCCTGCGGGTTAGAGGTGAACCAGATCTGGACATCCAGCCTCACACGCCCCCTTTTCAAACTGCAGAAAAGACCGCCGGGCCTGGAGGGCCTGGAGGGCCTGTATGCCGAACGGCGACGAGTGAAACACTCGGAAATGGCCCGTGACGAAGGGGTCGCATCCGGGATGCGACGGGTCGCGACCCGTGGTCGTGCCTGGTGGTGCGGGAAGCGGGAGTGAAGCAGTTTTCGCCCTTGGCCCTCGGCCAGGAATTCTGAATTCTTCCTCATCGGGCACAGCGGCAGTACCCTGCCCCTCGGAAGAAGGAGACAAAGATCAGGTTTGAAGTGGTCACTCATTACCTGGTTGCTGCCAGGTCTATGGCGTTGGTCTACAGTTGAAGTCGCTCACTTGTTTCATTGACCTCTTCGTTTGTGGATCGCGGCAGTCAAAAGTAGTCGAGAAACGTCACGAAACTGGTGCTCCGATCAACCTTTCAGCCTCCATGGTTTAAAACGAAAAGTCGGGGGTGAACATGACCACATGATCTCTTTGACACCGAATCCTCCTCCACCATCTTCCATGCCAAACATTCTTTTGAACACTCCCCCTGCAGATTTAACACGGAACTCCAAAAACCACACTTGGGTTAGGTCTTCAGCGACCTGCTCTTCCCGGTGTCTCATGGCCTTCTTTTCTTGGGGTCCCTACTCCCCGGAACCACCTCTCCCTACTCCTGGGAGTCCATCCGCCAATACCGAGCCGAGCCGATGAGGTTCGACAAGATCATGGGCCGAGAGCTGGAAGCACCGGTGATGCCCAAGGCCGGGGCAGAGCGGCGCGGCGGGAGAGCCTGGGAGAGTGCGGGCAGGAAGAGCGCAGGGAGATGAACGCTGGGTGGCAGGATCGGGGGAGTGCTGTTGATGTTTCGGGAGGGTGCTTTGGACCTGTAACTGTTCATACTCTTTTGCAGTTGTCAGCTTGACTAAGGCTAGGTATTTGGACATGTTCAACTGTCCTGAACGGGAGCAAAAGCGGTACGTCGTTGGTGCCGGACCCTGGACCTTTGGACGGGTTCCCATCGAACGTAGACTTGGAGGGTGAGAATCGGCCGTGGGGTTCTGAGCAAGTGGCGTACAACTCTCGCGGACACGAGACCTTTTTATCCTTTAAATTCCTTTAATATATATATATATAATATATAGTATTATTATATAGATATGTATTAATATAATATATGTCATATATGTAAATTGAAACAATCACAAGATGATCCCCTAGTGCAGTTCCAAAGCCTTTGGCCATCGTGGCATCCTGAGACTGAAAGGCACTTCTGGCCATGCGACTGGCCCAGCAATGAAGCATATACTCCGACCAAGCACTGACCGTGGGAATGCGAAACCTACCGCTTCCTCCATCGTCATGCCATCCCAAGAGCTATGCCAGCGCTGCAAGGGCGAGAAGTATTGCGAGCCCACCGACATCGACTTTACCTTGAGCGACGAGGGTGAGCTGGGCTGAGCGGCCGCAAGAGCGCCGGCCACTGGCCGCTGTGGTCGTGCTGGAGTCAGGAGGAGACCGGCTGAGGCCGAGCGTAGGCAAGGTAACCCACCTGGCCACAGATCCGCAGTGTGCATGATGGCTAAGAGATCTAAGAGGAATCTGATCGGAAAACAAGTGCACTGCCTGGTCACCCCTCGAGATTCCAGTATCTCACAGCAAGATCCCACGCCTCCGCTGGCACTGGAGATGCGGAGGAGCATCAGAACGGTGAACGGAGAAACGATCCAAGAGCCAAAAGTCAGTTGCAAAGAAAGCTCGAGACACCTTGGCATGCCATTGGGGTACTTGTAGGTGTATGTAGGCGTATGTCGGAAACGGCTGGGCCGAGCTGTCAGGGCGATACTGCAACTTGTTCATGAAGCATCACCGGAAGATACTGGAACCTCAGGAAAGACTGGATACACAGATCAGTTTGTGGGATGTTACTGTGTCACCGGGTTTTGTGGGAAGGAGGCCCAGATCTTGAGAAACCCCAAGTTGAGTGTAATTAGATCTTGTGCTTCCCCCTGCCCGGAACAATTGCTGGGGGTGCTATGTGGGACCCCTACGAACCACCCTCTGGGGAACCAGCAGTTGCGAATTGGACTGGGGTTGTCCCAATCCGTGACTGGTGGAGAAAGGAACCTTGTTCTCTATCTATGTGTTATGTGTTGGGTTTGGCGCTGAGTGATGTGATGGTCCACTTGTTCTGTGCTGTTGAATGGTTTGTCCTCTGAGTCATCTCTGCTTCCTTAGGCTGAGGAACTGATGAGAACCGCAATGTGGGGGAAAGAATCCAAGAGTGTGTTGGGTGTTTTTACCACATATAGGACTTGGCACCCCGAAGGGCCTTCAGTCTCTGCCATTTGCATCCTGATCGATCCCGATTAAAGAAACCCTTTCGGATCCTTTCGGCAAGAAGCCCTTTCGGCTTCGACCTCCGCGTTTTGCTCAGCAGCCGGTGGGGTTCCCCACGTCTTTTCCGCGACGGTCCGCGAACAACATCAGGGTTGGTGAGAAGGCCTTTGGGTCAAAAGCATTTGCGCTTTAAAAAGCTACTTGCACATCGTCAGATCGTGACTTTCTAGGACATAAGCTATGATATAGGGAACTTTCAGAATCAAACAGAATCAGAACCGTGTACATGTCCACACAGGTCTTGACCGCTTGAGAGAGGTCGCATCCACATTGTTGGCATCCATCGCGCAGGTTAGGAAAATCATAGAACATTTGCCAAGTCGCAGGAATGTGCCAGCTCAAAAGCCAACCCTGAATAGCTTTTTTCTGAGGGCTCTGCCACAAGACGAGGCCGTGTCCCACCACGCCAAATGCCGGGGGGAAAGACGACCCCGGAGAAACTTGAACTTCACTTGTCGGCGGCTGAAAGGTGAAGGGAGCACTGGACACGCAACATATCAAGAAACATTGTACGTCATGTTTGCATTTAACAACTGGACACGCAACACTGGCCTGGGCCTAGACTTGAACTCAACACGCTGGAAACCCTTGAAAACCGCTGCCGCTTTTCGCGGTCGCCCAGCGTTTGGAAAATTGCCCACGCAAGGGCAGAGCTCGTTTTTTGGGGGTGAAGACCGAAAGGCCGAGTGAAGAAGGTACCTTCCCCCGAACTAGTAGTATCAGAAAGACTGGAAAGAAATTAGACGGTTCTTCTTCTTCTTCTGCTTTGGGAGGCGGTGAAGACCACGCCTTGGGCTCGCTATTGATAGGTTTATACCATCCAAGCCAATTGAAGCCCGCACTGGGGAGTGCACTCATGGCCGCCACTCCTGCCAGACCAATGGAGGGGGGCTGCACCATGAGGCCTCCCTCTGGTCCAGCAGAAGTCGATCTAAGCCTTGGACCTTACAGAAGGATGCAGAAGGGAATAAAAGTGCCGTGGGAACCCTTGCAATTTGAAGGACAGTGTGATCCCAGCTCAACAGTCAGGCATCTCCAGATCCTACAGCCAGAGCGGCGAGTGAAGATCCCACTGGGGAGAGCCGATATGGTGACACTGGAAAAGTATGTAGATCCAGTGATTTGGCGCATGTTTCACCAACACGATGTGTTGCCAAGTGTGGGTCTCTCCCAGAGGGCGAACTCAATTCGAGTCGGAGTATGCGCGTGAGCCGGAGAGCGCCTGAGTGCCACCGAATGATTCCAATCCGAGCCGCAGAGAATGCGATCGCTATCCCAGGTCCCAGGTCGGTTGCGCGTTGGTCAAACTGAGCGCTCAAACACCTAGATGCACTGCAGAGAATCGTGAAACAGTGATTCAGTCTGGCGGACCTATAAGTACGTCTATCCTGCAGTGGATGGATGAACCTGACTCAATGGTCAACAAATCTGACCAAACTTGTAGAGCAGAAACAGCAGAACAGAACACCATGAGTTATGTATATCCGTATCGATATGTTATCTAACCATCGTAACAGACACATAATTATATATAATAGAATATATATATATGTGTGCCACGGGTGATACGCTGATACGCTTACATACATACCAGCATGCTTGCCAAGATGGCACACCAATCTGAGCCTTTGTCGAAGATCGGTCCAGAGATGGTTTTGGGACCGGTCTCACGACACCGAAACGGACCAAACTGCCTGGTCCGCTCATCCACTCTGAAACAGACCCGTTCCCTGCTGGTCAGCACTGGCTCCGTGACACCCTCGCTTCGCGCCGGCGGAAGCCTCGTGGGCGGCGCGACCGGCGGTTCGGCGACACGACGCACCGGCTGAAAGGGCAGGAGGGCTGCGCGGACCTTGAGTCCAACCAGCATTGCAGAGCGTTGAGTCCAATGGTGCAAGCTTTTTGATGACAGAAGTGAGAGAAGAGGGCAACGGACATTATAGACGTTGATCCGGTGTTTACACCTTCATATCTGCTTGATGTCTCCTGGCTTTCCTTTTTTCACGGTCTTGAGGTTCATCGTTTGATTCAATAGATGACCGGTTGGACCGGCTTTGGCCGCTCTGGCGGTGATATCCGGAGAACACTCTCAATGGCCATGGGTGCTGTGGGGTGGATGGAAGCCAGAAAGGAAATGAGCAACAGGCAAAACTGTTCATGTAAGAGTTCACTGTTGGGGTCTTTCCATGATGTAGGTTGCCCAAAACCCTGTAAAACCAGATATACATATATAGTGAACTACAAAAATCGATAACTTGAACTATGAGATCATGTTCCACCTACAGTAAGTTGATGATGATGATTGCCTCAAGTTCCACAACGCTGCGTGCACGCAACGAAGCTAGTGGACTGGGTGGTCACAGGCAAGCTGTTTGCACCATTGGCGCACTATGCGCAAGTAAGCTATCGTACTGACTGGCTACAGGCAAGTTGCTTACGCCCGTGGCAGGCTGCACAACGCTTGCTTTGTCTCTGCAGCCTCCTGCCCAAAGGTTTCCTCACGCGGCTTCCGACAAAAATCCCAGTCCATGATCGATAACCAAATCGAAAACGAAACGAGAGCCGTTTGTTGCGCAAAGGCTGCCGCAGCGGTCACCTCCCAACTTAGGTCACGAACATTGATGCCAAAGTTCTCACAAGTTCGCGTGGGCCATATGGAAGAGAGGTCGGCAATATTCCGCTTGGCAAAGCAGTCAGTGCATCGGTACTGGCAAACATGTTTGACGATGAAGTTTCATTCTACAAAGGCACGCGTCCCAGTGGCAACTGCTAGAGAGGGGCCGGTTCCTTTGACAAGAGCTGCCTTTCGGCTGCTTCTCAGCTTTCGTATTGACATAAACTCTTTGCCCGCAGGTCATAATCTGCGAGGGATGTTCAAACCACTCAGAACCTTGTAAAACGACATAGCGAACTACCAAAACCGAGAACCGCATACAGAAGACCCGTAGTCTGCTTGGAGGTCTTGCCGTTCGCTGAGGTACAGGGGAGCTCGCCCTCTCCAGTGAGTTTTAGATAGTTTTAGGGTATTGAGCTGAGTGAAGCATGTTAGCTATCTGCAAAGCTGGTGTCATAGAGCCTTCGACCGCCCCCCGCGGTGAATTTGCACGGGCTGGCGCCGTGAACGGCCCCGACCCTACGACAGACTCAGGGTCTTGCTTCGGGATAGGTCGGGTGAACATGAGGCGGGTCCAGAAACCACCAGAACAACGGCAACGACGTCAAGCAACGAACCTTTGAATGGACCAAAACTAGCGCAGTATTGCAAGACCAGTGAAGATGTTAATGTTTCGTTGTGCCAATCAATGCGCGCTCGACTCCCATTGATATGGCATTTGTGACGATCTGCAAGACGCTGAGTGCCCTGGATGGGGCTCCCACGAAGATGCGAGCATGCACCCACCCGAAAGGTCGTTCGAAATCCGACTGTCACCAAATGCGATCAAATACGACGCGCGTGTGCCTGGTGCACCCTGCTCCGCGCAAGAGCATGGAGCACTGCTCCAAGGGATGGAGGAGTGGGCGTATGTTGTGTGATAACCTCGGCATGGCCGTTGCTGCGGGAAATGGGCATACTAATGCCATTTTTTCATAGTGTGTTCCTGAACTTGGTGTTTTCTTTGGTTTTCCGCAATGAAACATTGAACCATCACACTCTTCAGTAAAAATTCTGGTTTGTGTTCTCCGACAGCTTTGGGGCGGTCCCTGAGGCGCCTGAGGTGGAGGCCAAGCGTGTGGTGGCCCAGAGAACGGTCGATTTGGACCTCCAACCTCATTGGTTCAACCGCTGGTCGGTGACTTTGCCCCGCAATATGGTTGGAAGGTTGTACCACTCTTGGGGGGGTGCCATATATTACCATAATATATTTATATTATGTACAATGTATATGATGTTCTCTGGACACATGTGGTTTTTCTCCACAAAGCTTGGCATTCAGCCCGTAGCAGTGTAGAGGCGGTTTCAGCCATTTTCAGCCTATAGACGGTGTAGCAGTGGGAGCCGATGCGCCTGGACAAACCGCGATGAGTCCCACCGTAGGGAACTCGCCTCGACAGGAACGCCTCGAGGTGGCGATGGGAGTTGAAACGCCTCAAGAAAACCATTTTCCATGACATGTCACCCCTCAACAGGACAAGTTCCCATGGCCCTAGTCAGGCCGATAGAAACGCGCAACAAATCACTCATTGAACATCATTGAACACCGGTTTTTCGTGCTCAGCGGCTCCCACTGCCGTTTCTTGCCGATCGCTGAGGCTGGCCATTGCTGGAGCGGCTCATGACGGCAGTTGGGGCTCCTGGTTGGCGTGTCGCAGATCATGGAAGTGAAGCTGGGGGTGCCATGGCAGCTGCATCAACTGCTATGGGCTGAGGCATTCAAGCTGGGGAAAGGACCATTCCAAGTGCCAGGCTGCCAGGAGAAAGGATTGTACACCTGGCAGCTATGGTAGTTGCCCAGGGCAATTTGGAGTCCCAGATTTGCGAGTGATATATATATATATCCACAGTTTTCATTCTACGCACACACATATGCACATAATATGAGTTGTCGGGATTGTTTGGAACTGAAGTGAGGCCGTTGAAACCGACATTCCACGACCTGTTGAAAAGCGTGCAACCATGTTCCAAGACCTTGGCATTGAAGAACCAGGAGGTGTTGTCGCAAATGGAACGTGTGTGATGACACCATAGCCCTCCAAGGAGTAACGATTCTTCTTTTCTTGGGAACCCGCGGATGTAACTTGCGGCGTTTGAGCCGTCCATGAGACAGGTGCTGATTTACTCACCCGGGGGAGGTCGCAGCTCTCAGAGGTTGATTGAGGTTAGCTATGCCATGGTCATGGAATGTCACCAGAAGGTGTTCAAAGGCCGATTGGCCAGGACGAAACCTCCCCCGTCCACCATCCGTCCACCAGTCCACTGCCAAAGAAGAGGACTCACACCATGTGGGATGGACGGCTTCGCTGTTGGGATGGACCCCTGTTCAGCTGTTGGACGCCGGCTCAAAGCGCGAACGCAGCATCCGGTCGGCACGAAAGAAGCACACCAATCTGGGGCATAGGAGTTCTTCACTGCCAAGTAGTTGGGAGTGTATCAAATTCTTATTCTTGCAATGCAGCTTCCGATGATGCTGCCATGAATTGGGGACTGTCCCCGACAAAGTGCGACGCGACCTGTTGCAAGGCGGAATCTTTCCATTTCCAGGGCTGGCTTAATGGTTTGGGTGCTGCATGTGCATGTGGGGATGCTTTTAGATCATGCATGTTCCTTGAACCCACCTTCCAACCTTGGGGCGGAGTGCATCATAGGCAAGGCATGCTTGACAAACAGTGGACTACGACGACCCCGTCTCAGACTCGCTCCATTGATTGCTGGGCTGCAATGGCACGCGCGGCCCATTAACCAGCAGTCATTAACCAGTGCCGGGTCCTCGGTCGGGTGTGGAAGGTTGCGCACATCGTCATCAGTGGTACGCGCAAGGACATGACACATCTGCAAACCTGGCAAGTTCTGCACCTCACTCGTAAAGTCCAGGTGACCTTGAGATTCTTCCGGCCAAGGCATTCTCTTTGGGTGTGGCCGCGGCCGGGGTTAATGACCATGAGGTCCGACCTCCATCCCTTCCTGGAGCTCTCGTGGACGGGATGGCCTTGGACGTGCTGAGTGCTGGGCTGGGCGCCGCAGTGACGGACGCTGGGCTCCTTCAGCGGGTGGGAGCTGAGTGGCTTCGGCGCAGGTTTGCAGCCAACATGGTCCTCCGGGTGATGAGAGTTGGACCAAGGTTGCCTGAAAGCTGTGAAGCCTTCAGAAGTCTCTGTCTTCCTCCTTGCACCCCCTCCAAATGCGCGGCAGATGTAGCGAGGAGTTCATATGTCATGTACTTGATTGGTGGTGGCCGGGTGGGACTGTACATGATGCACTGCAGATGTGATGTGCTGCTGGGTTCTTGAGAAAAGATGAGAACCGTATTTTGTTTTTGCATGTGGCCTCTTTTCCGAGAGCGGCCATGTTGAGGACAGCATCTTTAACCCCTTGGCCATGATCACAGTGCGTCTTCAGGCACTCCGAAATTAAGCAAGGAGAGATGGTCCAGGGGGGAATTCAGGGAATTCACTCAAATATCACCCCAAACTTTGGTAACATGTTCAGGGCGTGTGGCCATCCAAATGCAGGTGTGCAAACTCAGACATGCTTGGTGGATATAGTGTTTATGCTCCAGACTGAGACTCTTGAAAGACTGTTTCCCATGTTCCTCTGTGGGTTCCTGTTACAGTCGAAGACTCCAAGAGGTACCACTTCTCCACAGTTCCAGGTGGATCGCGAGCGGGTCTTGTACAAGAGCTTCGGGCAAAGTGGCTTGGTGAAGTTTCCAGCTGCGAGATGCTGCGATTCGCGGCATGGATGGGGAGATCGCCGGATTGATGCAGAAGAGCCAGAGAGCTCCTCAAGAGATTTGATATTCTCCGCTCGGCGCTCGAGACTCGTTCATATTGAGAGTATTGAATATTGAGATCCACCTTTGATGCTCTTCCAAAGACGTGTACTTACACAGTCTTACACACAATTGGACTTCGGATTTTCAAGTCTGAACAGCTGTCAGGCTTGGGATGCAAGATTGCAATGCAGATCTCTGGATGGAAGGTTGAAGATTTCACAGGGTCTTGCCCAGAAATCTTCAATCCAGATCCCTGGATTGAAGATTGAAGATATCACAGGGGTCTTGCCCAGAAATCTTGAATCCAGACCCCTGGGTCGAAGATTGAAGACTTCACAGGTCGTGAAGAAGCCGCAGCAAACTTCTCGAAGCCGCTGACCACTGTAGACTCATGTAGACTCCACGGCATTTCCTGATAACTCTTGTCAGCGGCAGCGTGAGCTTGAATGGCACTCAAGCCGTTATGGTGCTGGATGTGCGTGGTCGGTATGCTTGAGACTGGGCCAGAAGCTAGAAAGTCGGGCTTTATGTTTTCAAATGTGATTTTGATCCATTGGTGCCGAGTTTTTGTTTTTGTTTTGATGCTCTTTCCGTTACCTTTTGAAATACTTGTTTTTCAAAGTTGAATATTCACATTTTCGTACATTTTTCATCAATTCAAAAGCAATACGCACCACTCAGTAACTGTAACGAAACCAATAAACAACATATAAAAGCTGAAGCCATTAAGCAAATCTTTGGCTGACTTCTCGATTCTCAACCAGATCCTGCTTCAGAAAGTGCTGGACGGAGAAGAACCAATCCATGAGTCCAGGTTGCCAATACTCAAAAACAGTTGGCAGCCATGGTTGCAATGTGCAGCCGCGCTTTCAGCCTCGGACTCAATATCTAAGGTCGGTGCTTTAGAGGACAAGAAGGAGGATCCATCGTCCCCAGCTTTGCCCTCGACACTAGCCATGTGACTGCATATGTCGCAGGTTGAGAATTGGTGCGGGACTCGAGTGAGCAGTGATTCGGTTCCAGGGACTAAATCCACCTAACCTTGTACTCAATATCTAAGGTCCGTGCTTTGTAGGACAAACCGTCTTCGACATCATAGGATTTCTCATCATCCTCGGATTCATCTTCAATGAACCCAGTCATACAGACTTTTTCTTAGGTTGATGATGGCCGCAATTACACCTCTGGCCTAGTCCTGCCAACCTTTACCCGCTGCTTGCCCAGGAAGACTGCGCCTAAACAGCCAGCAGGGATCGAGCGAGCGTTGAAGGATGCAACAGCTCCATGGCAGACAGCTCAATACGAGGCGTTCCATATTATATGGTCACTACATCTCCGATTTCCAAGCTTTTAGGAGAGGGAACGGCTGATGGGGTTGAATGATGTTGTCAAACGCATTGTCAGGCAAGCTGACTCCCGCTAAGTCAAGGTTGACCTGGGTTGCCCGATGATTGGCAACACCTTTTGTGTGTTCTCTCTCCTGGTTTTGGAGTTATGCGACGTTGCCAACTAGGCCCACTAAGCTCCGTTGCCTTCCAGGGCCACCAGCGCCCGCTGGGTGGACGACTGCGCCCAAGTTTGTCACCAACCCGGATGTAACTGCTCAGCGCCCGCAACTCGTTCATGGTATCATGAGACATGGAGATCAATCCGGGACTGATATTAGTCTAGATCTAGGCACCCCTTTTCGGTTCAAGGCGTGCATCGGCGTGCGGTTTTGAACGCTGGTGGCAAATCATAAGCGGCTTTAAGTGGCATCATCGGGCACTTTAACTGTCTCGAGCTGCAGGCTGTGGTAAAAAGCTTGCAGTGGCGCCTGCGGAAAGCCGACCGGTTCAAACATCGTGTACTTCACCTGATTGACTCACATGTGGTTGCCTGTGTGGTGACAAAGGGCCGGACATCGTCTTCACGATTGACGAAAAGCTTGCGCAAGCTCAACGCTCTGCTCAGCTCGTGAGTACCGGTACCATCCTGTCACTCTGACAACCCAGCAGATATATCCCCAGAGTGGCGCAAAGCGCGGAAAGGGGTCGTGCGGACAGAACAGCTAGTGACTCCTGGAATGTTGCAACGTTATCAGGTAGCTTTAGTCACCATTTAGTCACCACTGTGCAATTTGGGGAGGACTGCCATCTGGAAATTCGTGACCTTAGCGAGTTGGATTCCATGTTGGAGCACATCTTCAGCCAGGGGCTTCCTCGCAGATCCCATTAGGGTCGTGCCAATCAGCCCTCTCTTGGTTCGAGCGTTTGCTGGGTTAGACGTTTTGCTGTCCTTCCAGATTTCATAGGTGTGGCAGCGTTATTGCTTACTGCTTTTGATTGTCTTCTTTGAGCAGGGAGCAGTGTTGTCGCTGCCTGACACCAAGACCGGGCGCCGAAAAGGCGCAGCAGAGAAGGTTGTATTAGAAACCACCCTAGCTCGCCGCTGGCTTTTGCAGGCCTGTCAAGGGTTACCTCCACAAGCCAGTATTCCGTGGTATCTTCCATTATTGAATCGTTTGAGCTTACCGGGCTGTATGCAGTTTACAGCCTGCGACGTGGTGGCGCCACATAGCGCTTCCTTCCTGTCTCATGGAAATTTAGAGAAGCCTTCTTCTTCTACGGCCCGCGTAATTTGCAAGACACTTAGCTCTCCAACCTGGTCGCGTTTTGACAACAGCTTGACGGCGATGCGCGGGTCAGGGGTCCGTGGAAGTGCCACTAATTTGAAACCCAAAATATAGGTTGTGGCCACTTTCCAACGGTCAGCTTGTGCTGCGCCTCTCAGATCATGCTGAAAGATGATATGAGGTTGTTTGAACGTGTGGTTTCACTTCAACTTGAACAAGCTCTGGCATTCTTCAACTTGGACAATGGCCAGCATTGGTACTCATTACCGTAAGGTAACCTCATGGAGCGAGCCTGGAACTTCGAATGCGCCGGTGAAGGGATGTTTTCCCGGCCAGGCACCAACGGTTCCTTTTCAATCCTTCCAGTAAAATCTTGACATTCTGCGCAGAAGCTGCTCTTTGGAATTTCCGGCATTCTGCGTGACGCCTCCGCTCGCGTGAGGATGTCGGTTCCTTGGCTGTCCCGTTTCCCACCATCAGACTGATTCCCAATCTCGTTGTCACTTGCTGTGCGCCAAGATGGTTGAGCAGCAGCAAATGTGTTGTGTTGGATCGCTGCCAAACTTTTGTTGGGGTTGAACGAATGGAGTGACGCAAGGGAGAACATGTTAACTGTAAGAAGGGGTTCCAAAAACACACATCACATATGAGATGAAGCCCTACCTCGTGGGTGGGGGCCGTTCATCAACGACCGACAGGTGGCCACGTTGACCTTGGAGAGCCGCAAGCCTAGGGGAGGCTCCATGGCAACGAGCAACTATATCGATTATATATATATATATATTAAGTCCGCGTCTTTCGCAGACCCGCAGTGGCATGGAATGGAAAACTTACATGTGTATACACATGTGTTGAACAAATCAGATTGATCATGTCGCATTGATCTTGTCACCGACATCAGCAGGAGGTGGGTTCGAAACGAACACACGTCCTGGTGCCTACTTGGCCTGACATCTGCTGAGCGCCTGAAAGACCAACTGCTTGAGCAAAACCTGGTGGGATTGGTAGTGAGTTCACTTCACATACGGTAGGACCAACTCTCTTTTGCGACCATCAGCTCCCCCCCAAAAGACCTATTGATCAAACAAACAGAGTGCTGCGCCCAACATGTTTTCGCCGTGGGCAATTTGGTGACGCACGGTCTAGCTCGGCGCTGCTGCCAGGTCTGTTCAAGACTTAATTGTGGAGAAGGCTTCACTGAAAAGCTCATTTTGTGTGACTTGTTGCAGTTACGCCCAAAACCATTTGATCTACGTTCTATTGCGAAAGCGTTTTGATGGATGTTGTATAGGCGTGAACTTTTGAATGCAATCGCTTGAAAAGGCAAATGATGCCCAGCCGCATACTTTTCCATTTCAGAGTGCGTAGCTTCTGTGGTAGGCTTCCACTCACTTGGAATCCCCAGGTTGTTGTTAGAATAGAGAGATGAATGAAGAGGCGTGGGGTCCTAGCGTCCACCAAAGAGTATCCAGCAGACCACCGCCCTATAGATCAAATCTACCAATGTCTGTTCTAAAGCGAGACACTGACTCAAGACTTAGACCGCACATGATCTGACTCAGGACTCAGCAAATTGGAAAGCATCAAAGGTGGATCTCAGGGGGGCTTGCGTTTTTTGTTCTATATATGTATATATATATATACGTATATATAAAATCTATCTATCATTTTGAATTTATCATTTTGAGGCGCCTCCTTCCAAAGCTTCCGAAGGTTAGAAGTCATAGGCAGCCCTGAGAAGAAACGGGGTCCGATCCCGGTCTGAATTTCGAGGCTTGCGGCAGATTTTCCACGAGGAGGGCCTTGTGGGCTTGTGGACACCGGGCTTGGTGGCCACCTGGATGCGCGCCTTCACACAGACAGGCCTCAGAGTGGGGCTCTACCCCAGGCAGGCTTGGGGATGTTCAATGGGGTTCACATGGGGTACGCTCACTAAGCCTGAGAATGATTTCTGCTTCTTATTAACGTTGCTTAAGCCTTCAACGAACATCAAATCACACCACCACACTGAGGTTGGCTCCAAAACTGCCACGTCTTCAACAAAAAACGGTTCAGCCGTGTACAACCGCGACAACCGCGTCAAACACCACGTCAAGCCGCCACCTCTCCTCCCAACAAGAAATCGTGTCCAGGGTGAAGGCCTTCTACGGTGACACCGGCGGCCTGGCGACGAAGCTCGCGTCTGGCGCGTCCACGGGCGCTTTGGGCGCAGGTCTGGCCAACCCCATTGACGCCCGCCGGGAACCAGGGCAGGGCCAGGTGCAAAACAGAACTCGGACTTGGAGGTCTCCAGATTTCCCCGGCCACTCACACCATTGACAGGGAACCGTTCACGACTGGTATGGGCGGTCACAAATGTGGAAACACTGAAGAATCCACGTGAGGCAGGTGGCCAGGCCTGGCTGCCCAAAGCCTCTGTGTGTTGAAGCCGGCGATGTATGAGCTGGCTGGGCACGTGGTGGACAACACTCAGCAAAACACAGAGGACGCGAGAAGGCTGCCCCGCTACCTCATACACCCAATGTCACCCAGTCCACCTTGTGCAGTTGCCCTCACCTCTCAGAGTCAGAACTCCTAGAGCTCCTACCTCCGCTCAACCGCAGCTGCCTCAAGTGCTGGCCCCCACCGAGGATTTGGTCCGGGTGCGTTTCCAAGGCGAGTCTGGTGCCCTGACACAGTGCGGCACCTATGCCAGCGGCCTGCGGCGCTTCGGACGCAACGAGCTGCGTCGTGGGGTAAAAGCTGGCTAGTATGCTTGTGTTGCAGCGAGTGAACCTGTTTCTCGCAGCATTTGGGTTGCGAGAAGCATGTTGCGAGTTCTGGAAACATGTTGGACAATTTCAGATTGGCAGAGATTCTGGCACCTCGGGCACCGGGGCAGAAAACAAGCCGGTGCGATCCTGAGAATCGGCACGGCGAATTCGGTCACCGGGGGCGTCCACAAGGCCGCTTCGGCGCTGAAGGAAGGAACTCGTCCTGAGCGAACTGCCCAGAACCCCCAAGAAGGTGAAGCGCATGTATATCGCATCATGTATTATATAAAACACGGGCCTTTCACTGATTTTCACTCTAGATGTCTGTGTCCACTGTTGTCAGGGCTATTGTTTGCTGGGCTTTCAGCTTGACACAACATGGTGGAAGCAACCAATATATGCAGTCCAAGGCGGTGTCGAAAACTGGTAAATGTGAGGTCGGGGCACAAGCCACGGCATGCCAACACCTTGCGCGCTTTCCTTGACATTTTCCGAGAGGACTTGAGTGCGATATTTTCCTGTACACCAGAGGAGTTCAAGACATGTCAGACATTAAGAAGCGAGAGGGGAGACTCTGAGGAAGACACAAGGGTGACTACTGGCACCGGTAAGTGTGTGTTGTGGTCCGTGATTTTCACAGCAACATCAATTAGTGAACCTCACTTGTGGGGAATGGACTTGGACAGGGTCAACCAGCTGCACCCCACCAGGAGGGTCTCGCAGGGCTTTGGCGCGGGGCGCCCGCAAACGTGGCCCGAGCGGGGCTTTTGTCAGCTGGGCAGCTGGCCAGCTATGACCAAACGAAGCAGGCGCGGGCGGTCAGCGTGCTGTAGTGAGACAGGGTGCCAGATGTGAATGGCCAGTGGGTTGCCGGTCTTTGTTTGTTAACTCGATGTGCCAAAAAGGATGAGCTGACCCGGGGGATTTGTTGTGACCCTGGGTGCCCAGAGATGGGGCGGGGTGGCTCGCCTCCCAACGAAAATGAGAGGATGCACTAATGGAGCGCCATGGGGCGCCCAGTTGGAATCAGTGGAGTCATTTTAGTATTGTAGGTACATGTAGGAACAATGGAACAATCTATGTTTTGAGAGCCAGCTTCCTTCCGCTTCACGTTCGACCATTTGGACCTCTCCTCTCGAAACTCTTGGCTCCCCCTTCCCCACTGGTAGCCCGATGTTTCTTGCCCAAACGAGATTTGCGGGCCATTTTGGGGGGGGTTGAGCCACCATCTTTGGGACACCAGCTGGCAGTCCTGCGTCAGGTTGCTCTAAAGGCCGGATGGACTGATGGCCCCCGCCTGCACTTGTGCTCCTCGTGCTTCTCTGGCTTGGTCGCACAGGTGGCATGGCCAGCCGTAGTTTGGACAAAACATGCCCGAACTCGGGATGGCCCAGAGTGAAGGATGGTTTTTTTTCTCAGAACGTTATTTTTTTGCCAAGCAATTCCGACCAATGCTTCAACATTGTGCATGGCTTGCCCCGCTTGCCCTCGACTTGAGTGCTTGTACGGTCCATGATTTCGTTATCCGGTGATGAGTGGGTCCATCCAATTAGGCTATCACCCACTGGGCAGAAGACGGTGCCAAATGCGGCACCGTTTTGGAGTAAAGTAAAGGGTCCCGGCCCATGCCCGGCCTTTTTCTCTGCCCCGAGGTGGCCTGCATGCCGGCAGACGTGGTGAAGACACGGCTACAAAGTGGAGGACGTCATTACAGGGGCGTTCTGCACTGCGCCTGGGATGTGATACGAATCACGGAGTGAGCGAACCTTGACCCATGCTCTTTCGCGGTCTGAAACAGGAACCACTTACTGGACCGGGCGCAGGTCCGGACGACGTCGGGCCGAAGGAGGACAGGAAGGAGGACAGGACCACGCCCTATGAACTTGGACAAACAACCCAGCCATCCCCACTTCATCCCCTTTCTCTCTCTCTCTCTCATGTATCATTGCTCGCATGTTCAGTGTGCTTACTAATTATACATAAAGCGAAAGTATACATGGATAACTGGATCTGGATAACATCATATAACATCAGGGTTTGCATGTGGTCAGCCTTCAACATCCATGTATCAGAATGGAGATGAATGGAGATCCTTTTTTCGCAGAATATTGTCCACCAACACTCTTTACAAGGACTCTGACTCAGATGACAGTGGAGTGGGAAACGGCCAGCTATAAGATGGGTTTCAATCAGGGGTCATGTTCCCAAGCTCTAGGCAGAATACGGTCCGGTTCCTTTCTGGTACTGACCCTTTTTCTTGTACAAACCTCTCTCCGTTTCGGTTGCACTCGTGGCGGTCGCCGGCTTCGCCTGGAGGCCTCAGCCTCATGCTTCGCCACGAGCCGATCCTGGCCTTCTACCGTGGCTTTGGCCCGGCGGCGGGGCGTCAAGTGCCAGCGCCTTGGCACTGGGAGCAGCTCGATGGGATCGGGCAGGGGAAGCCCAAAGGGTTTGGGCGAAGGATGCGCACTTTTGCATGGCCAGGTCGGAGGCACATGGGGAATACCTGGAGCCCTGGTCCATGTAGCGAAAGGCCTGCCATGACAGACTTTTGGGCCAACTTTGCGGAGGTTTTGCTGCCAACTCTGTGAAGTGCAGAGGCCCCCATGGATACAGGTGGAGGCATACCGGTTGCCAGTTGGACTTTCAACAAACATCGCATGGATGAGGGTGATGTGATGCATAGCGCTTTTTCTATCTTTTTCTTTTCTGGCCGGTCTGGTCGCCTTCCCTGGACTTGCCTTAGTGTCCGCTACTCAACCTGCCACCATTCCGAGGTGATGGCAGTACAGATGCCCATTGTGGAGTACATCCGGAAGCACCTTTTCGGTTTGGAGTACTTGTAGATGGAGCGAAAAAGAGGGGGTTGCCTCATCAAGCTCATGAAGGCTTAGATTGAGATACAGTAATTATACTGTAGATATTGGACGTCTTGGATACTGGATTCCTGACAAACGCCAATTGGAAGGCTTGATTGAGCCTTCGGATTCTTCAATCCTGTATTCAAGTTTACAGATTGGAGACTCAGAGTTGTGTGATTGGAGACTCGGAGTTGTGTCCTGCATTCGTTTTCTGCAGACATTCATTCAACATGATTTCAACATCGGTGATGCCCCGCCAGTGATGCCACGTCCGGTCACGACCCGTCTCGGACGAAGCGCCGACCCGTTAACACCGTACGGTGCGCCGACCCTCTCGGCTCAGAGCGGACCGAGCTCGGCGGACCGAGTGGAGTGCAGCACCATGTCAGGCACGGCGGCTGCGCTTCGCCATGCGCAGCAGCCGAAACCGCTCGGATCGGGTGTGTGTGTGTGTGTTCATGGTTGAGAGGGCACTCCACCCAGCGATCGGAACGAAAAAGAGAGATCAGAATGGAGGTCATGGTTCCCATCCTGGTCCATCCTGGTGGGGTCCATCCTAATCAATGTAGACTCTTGCAATCCAAATTGGAGGGGGGTTATTCAGCAAGAGTCTACAACAAAGCTTGTCCTTGATGCATCCTGGTGGGTCACCGACCAATTTGGGTCCTGTTCTTCCCTCACCGTTCCGGATGAGCCGAACACAGTGGAGTGGGGGCGGCTGACGGCCAGGTGCCAAGGTGGATCTCTCAGGAGGCGGCCCGAAATGGGAGGGATCCGGGGTCTTGAGCGGATTCCGATGGCGGTGGAGCGGTTCCTCCCGGGACGGTTTTTCTTTTTTGTCCTCACAGCTCCTGGGAACGAATGGAGGGTTTTGGAAGGAGAGGAGCCTGTAGGCCTGGGCAATGGCTACTTACTTGAACTGCTGACTCAGGGAAGGCTAGTCTTCACTCTCTGGTGGTGCAGTGCGTCAGTAGGAGCTTGATTCATCTCTAGAAGCGGTCAGAACCAAAAAGATGCACTTCCGTGAAGAACCACTTGAAGCCTGGATCAGCGGAGGGCGATCTTCCTAGGTGCCTCGGCACCACCGCCGACGCATGGCTATGGCGGCTATGGTGGAGGCGGGGATTTGGGAGAGACCAGGTGGCGTTCGTGCGTATTTGCTGGCGCATGCTGGCACTATCTGGCACTTCTTGGGTTCGACCCCTTGCACTCAGGTCAGCCAATGCTTGTATTATATTGAAGATATTAAAGGTGACTCTGATGGATTTTGGACCTGGTGGATTTGCATGACTTGCTCTTTCTCCGAAACGTTCATCGTGCATAGGTGGCGTGGCGCAGCCGATGGTCGAAGCCGCTATGTGCCTGGCCTGATTGGCGTTTTTTTTGGGGGGGATGTCGTGGGCACAAGAACGCTCCTGGAAGATACCATGGAACAGTTTGATGATTGGGTCCTGCTGCCCGCGAAGGGACACATCCAGGGCCCCTGTGGGCTTATGTCTGCAGAGTTGGTCCTTCTTGCAGTGCATTCCTTTTGGGCCCTGTCGCCGGTCCAGAGGGCGGCAGGATGCTTTGGCAGCGTGTGGTCGACGGATGAGGGCTTGGATGCTTGCTTTTGAGCGTAGAGCTGTAGAGTAGGTTTAGTAGATTCTGGGCATTCACCCACCCAAGAAGATTCAAACACGCATAGAGAGACATACTGTATATCACACATATATCATAATATATTTAGATAATATAGTAAAACACACACACATGTCACACACCCATACACACACACACACATATATATATATATAATACACATGCACGTTTCTTTTGTCGGTGCGCGCCTTTCTTGATGTTCACTGTGACCTAGAAAATTACTGTTGCTAAGGGGCACCCCAAAGTGGAATTCCATACAGCTCCGTGTCGTGGCTGAAAACACCAGATACTCGCACTGTTTTGCTGCACGTGTTTCAGTACAGGACGCCGATGTGTTCTGCCAAGGCAAGACCCCACGGTGCAGCAACACATCAAGGACTGAGGAATTGGAACTATATATCAGGGTCGAGGCACTGCGGAATTTGTGTGTGATTCAACAACCTGATTTCAAATCATCTTCCCGGCTGAGACATAGATCAATCGGAGATCCCTAGACATCCCTAGACTCTAGGTCCTCTAGGTCCTCGAAATTCCATGTCGTGTTCGGTCCTTGATGTCCATGGGTCCGCTCCTACCTTTCCTTCAGCTAGCAGCGGGGCCCCGGCTCGGAGGTGCCGACGGGGAACGAATCCAGCATGGTTTTGATTGTGCATTTGAGTGATGATTCCGACCATGACTTTCATGCTGGCATCAATGGCTCACTACCATTCCGGCAACGGATGATCATGGATCAGCATGGAACATGGAGGCTGGAGTTACAAATGCGCCTAAGCCCCTTCCATCTTCCCAGAAAGAAATGCTAGACATGTTTTGTCTATATCGGAACCTGCAGATATGGGGTTCCTGACTTTCCAGCGCTCCTTCCCAGGAGGTGGCTTATCAGCAGGCCTCCGCGGGCTATGAGGCGGCGAAAGTGGCTGGAGCCATGGCCGCTGAGGACATGTTTTGCTGGGCGCTGCCCAACCAGAAATTGAAGATTTGAGGGGATTTTTGGACCTGGCAAGGTCAGATGCTTTGACCTGGCAAGGTCGGATACAGAACAGATGCAGATGGCAGCAGATGGCTAGATGGCTTGGGGCAGGAGGGGGTGGTCGCTCTTCAGGAGCTGGGGAAGTATATCCAAGAAGGCCCTGCCGGCATCTCAGTGCTATGCTTCTTAGGCGGGGATGCCGATGACGAGGTTGGGATCCGTGACGGGGTGGATCCGTGGGGTGAAGGGTGGAATTCAATTCGATGTACCCCACCAGTTTTTGTTGTGTTTGTTTCCCTCCATTTTTTTCCTGGGGGGGGGGCATTGGTGGGTAGCCTGCCGATTTCAGCAGGCTTGAGAGCAATTGTTTTCTATAGAGCTGGCCGCTGTGAGCGCACATGTTTCCGGTCTTTAGAAAGCTTTTCATGCTTCAACCTTCGGCTCAAAAAGGACACGCATGGGGAATTCTACAATTCTCTTGCAACTGTGTTCTTTTTCAGGTCGCCTTTCAAATGCCAACCGTCAAAAGCAACATAGATATATCGATACAGTCACAGTAAATAAATTAGATACTGCATGTAAATAATTTACATTATATAGTTAATACGTGTTTATACTTGTAGGTGGTATATATGTACAATACTTGAAGGATTCATTCTTCATTTGCTGGCGCAACTTCTTCAGGAACATCCAAGCTTAGCAAGAAAAATGCGCAATTTCAACCATTCCGTTGACACATCCATTGTTGAAGCAGAAGCCAAGAGCCCCTCCAGTTACAAAAACACTTCTTCGTGCCATCATCCCAGATTACTCTCAAGTCACTGAATGAGGGTTGTAGAGGTCGGATTTTTGGTTTGCAACCCTGGCATGTCTATATAGATTCTAGATCAATTCGAATGGTTTGGATTCTCCGTCTTCACCTCTGGTCTACTCCACATTCGGCCCCAAAGAGCGTTTCGAGCGCGGAGACGCTGCCTTGGGAGCCCAGGCGGCATGGCCACGACCTTGATCGGCTTGTTGGGCCTGCTGAACTTCGGCAATGGCCGCTCTGCCCCACTAGGGACGGGGGCGCAGTGAAGCTGGGTGCGAAGCGAGTGGCGCCAGCTGGGTCCCTGGGACCTCACCGAGTGGGACGAGAAGACGGTCGGAGCCATACAGTATCATTTAGAACGCGCGTTTTCCAGATTTGTTGAGCCTGGGGGTCAGCAGCAACTTGTTGACTTCAGGGGATCGAATGCAACAAAAGCAAGACCTAAGAGCTTTCCTTTTTTGGGGGGTGAGTTGGCTTGAGCTGACAGTTTGAGCTGCCTTCCTATGCCCGCAGCCGATCAAGGGTGGTTGTGTTTTGTGTCAACTCCCAGGCTTCACCTCTCCTTTTCAGTACGTGCTGATGCTTGGCTGCACTATGTGGAAGCTTACGGCTGTCATGGCCTTCCATCAGCTTAAAGAGCTGGCCTGCATTCAGTTTAATGTTGGCAATTGATGACTTGCTTGCTCCTAGCTTTCATCATTTTGCAGCTTCTCTAGCCCAGATCCCGATCGATGTTTCCCAGGAATGCCTACCTCATGGTCTTTGGCATAGTCACCTTCCTCTTAGAGGTGCCATGCAAAACCGCCCAATGGCCCAATGTAATTGGCTCTGAGTCATGATGGCTCAAGGCCTCAAGGGTGTCTTCGAAGAGGTCACCACAGGCCTTTCACTAAAAGGTCAGGGGAGGACCACTTGGCTACGTACGCGGCTGTGATCGGAGGTCATGACTGTCAATCCACCTCAAACTCGACTGCATCTTGGCAGACGGTGCCAGGCAGATGTGGAAAGTCTGCGATCAATGAAGGTCTTGGGCAGATTGCCGCTTGGACTGCCTGCTCGTTGTCAGCCAGCAACGGGCAAAGTAAGTACAAATATATATATATATTCATATATAGTTTCTTTTCTTAGTTAGAACATCAACCGACCCAATGGCTAGTGCCCAGTGTGCAAGCGGCCAAGCCACCAAAAGGACATGACGCGGAATCGGGCTGATTTCTGCCTAGCTTCTGCCTGCTGTATCTGCAGTACCTGCAGTGGCCCTAGGAAAGACAAAACCAAACATGGAGATGTGTCCACTCTTCTGGTACGGGGGTGTTCCTTATCAAAAGGCTCGATTATAGATACACTCTTTTTCTTCTGGCACTTGAAACAGTTGACTAGCAAAAGGAGGGGCAGCTCATCTCTGGGAGAATCCCTTGATGTCCTCAGAATTCATCCTATTTTATTTAAACATATCATCAATCTGCGGTGATTTTGTCAAGAGTAGTAGACAATACAAATTTCAACAGGTGGTTGGTAGAAGCCAACCAGCGCCTGTCAACAGGTTTGTGCCATCTAGTCTAA